TCTTGGTTAGACCATCATAGATTTTATCATCACTGACAACTATATAAAAAAATCATACATTACCTGTAGTTGGTGTACATACACTACCATTCAAAAGTTTAGGTAAGAGATTTTTGTTTTATAAAGAACAGCAGAAATGAATACATTCACTGAGCAAGGACACATTGATTTGATCAAAAATGTTAGATCAAAAATAAATGCTCAGCCCAGACCTTCGGGCGGCACGTATAGCAGAGTTTGTGTGCATTAGGAGTTGACAGATGTCCATATCCTTGAGGATATTCTTCACACAAGCCACACCCACAAAGAGATTTCTTTGCAATCACACCTAGATAAAATTACAACAGCTCCCCCGCGAGATCCACATCCAAACAAGACAATGAGGCTGGCTCAAGAGTCTTTCTGTGAGAAACTAGATTTGCATCACCTGAAGGAAATAGTAGTGTTTGTGAAAGAGTAAAGTTCAGCTTTCAGGATCTATCTGTGTGTAAATTAAATGTTGCATTTAGTGCGTATTTTGTGTCTAGTCGGCTGCATTCAAGAATGAGCATGATTAGAATAGTATACAGAACCTTTAACACAAAACTATCACAAATGTGACCCTGGAGCACAGAAGCAGTCATAAGCAGCACAGGTATATTTGTAGCAATAGCCAACAATACATTGTGTGGGTCAAAATTATACATTTTTCTTTTATGCCAAAAATCATTAGGACATTAAGTAAAGATCATGTTCCATCAAGATATTTTGTAAATTTCCTACCGTAAATATATCAGAACTTAATTTTTGATTAGTAATATGCATTGCTAAGAACTTCATTTGGACAACTTTAAAGATGATTTTCTCAATATTTAGATTTTTTTTGTACCCTCAGATTCCAGATTTTCAAATAGTTGTATCTCGGCCAAATATTGTCCTATCCTAACAAACCATACATCAATGGAGAGCTTTAAGATGGTGTATAAATCTCAATTAAAAAAAATTTACCCTTATGACTGGTTTTGTGGTCCAGGGTCACATATAAATGACCTTAATGTAGCAACTTACTGTATGCATAATGCACGTTTCACATGCTATTTCTAAAAAAGTAGTAGTTATAGTGTAGTAAATTAGTTTACCACCTTAAAGAGTTGCTTTGCGTTATACAAGGAAAATAACTGAACAGAAGACCAATCACAATTCAGTTAATGAAGCGTGTATGCTGAGCAGATGCAGAACCAGAACATATGAGCAGACGTTTGGGTTACACTGCCTGAGGGTGTGTGTCTTCCCGAGGAGAACAGCTGCGGAGGACAGCTCTGAACAACCTGTCTTACAGGTGTGAGTCAGTCACAACCAGTTCTCCTTCACCTCCAACATTTATTCCTGTGACAGTGTTCTAACAGTGTTTTCCACTATTTGTAGCGTTGTTTGCAAGCATGGCTAGAACGAACCCCCATCCAGAAGTGTTGTTTGGCTTCTCATGGGACTCGTGATGATTATTAGCTGAAATCTCGTGGCTTGTTGAGGAGAGGTGTGTTGAAGCACAAAAGCTAAGGGTGTGTTACAGTCAGTTTAGCACAGTTTAAATCCACAAAACTTACATCGAGGTAAATCCTCAATGACCAAGAAAAAAAAACTACAGGTGCATCTCAGTAAATTAGAATGTCGTGGAAAAGTTCATTTATTTCAGTAATTCAACTCAAATTGTGAAACTCGTGTATTAAATAAATTCAGTGCACACAGACTGAAGTAGTTTAAGTTTTTGGTTCTTTTAATTGTGATGATTTTGGCTCACATTTAACAAAAACCCACCAATTCACTATCTCAACAAATTAGAATACTTCATAAGACCAATAAAAAAACATTTTTAGTGAATTGTTGGCCTTCTGGAAAGTATGTTCATTTACTGTACATGTACTCAATACTTGGTAGGGGCTCCTTTTGCTTTAATTACTGCCTCAATTCGGCGTGGCATGGAGGTGATCAGTTTGTGGCACTGCTGAGGTGGTATGGAAGCCCAGGTTTCTTTGACAGTGGCCTTCAGCTCATCTGCATTTTTTGGTCTCTTGTTTCTCATTTTCCTCTTGACAATACCCCATAGATTCTCTATGGGGTTCAGGTCTGGTGAGTTTGCTGGCCAGTCAAGCACACCTACACCATGGTCATTTAACCAACTTTTGGTGCTTTTGGCAGTGTGGGCAGGTGCCAAATCCTGCTGGAAAATGAAATCAGCATCTTCAAAAAGCTGGTCAGCAGAAGGAAGCATGAAGTGCTCCAAAATTTCTTGGTAAACGGGTGCAGTGATGTTGGTTTTCAAAAAACACAATGGACCAACACCAGCAGATGACATTGCACCCCAAATCATCACAGACTGTGGAAACTTAACACTGGACTTCAAGCAACTTGGGCTATGAGCTTCTCCACCCTTCCTCCAGACTCTAGGACCTTGGTTTCCAAATGAAATACAAAACTTGCTCTCATTGGACCACTGGGCAACAGTCTAGTTCTTCTCCTTAGCCCAGGTAAGACGCCTCTGACGTTGTTTGTGGTTCAGGAGTGGCTTAACAAGAGGAATACGACAACTGTAGCCAAATTCCTTGACACGTCTGTGTGTGGTGGCTCTTGATGCCTTGACCCCAGCCTCAGTCCATTCCTTGTGAAGTTCACTCAAATTCTTGAATCGATTTTGCTTGACAATCCTCATAAGGCTGCGGTTCTCTTGGTTGGTTGTGCATCTTTTTCTTCCACACTTTTTCTTTCCACTCAACTTTCTGTTAACATGCTTGGATACAGCACTCTGTGAACAGCCAGCTTCTTTGGCAATGAATGTTTGTGGCTTACCCTCCTTGTGAAGGGTGTCAATGATTGTCTTCTGGACAACTGTCAGATCAGCAGTCTTCCCCATGATTGTGTAGCCTAGTGAACCAAACTGAGAGACCATTTTGAAGGCTCAGGAAACCTTTGCAGGTGTTTTGAGTTGATTAGCTGATTGGCATGTCACCATATTCTAATTTGTTGAGATAGTGAATTGGTGGGTTTTTGTTAAATGTGAGCCAAAATCATCACAATTAAAAGAACCAAAGACTTAAACTACTTCAGTCTGTGTGCATTGAATTTATTTAATACACGAGTTTCACAATTTGAGTTGAAATACTGAAATAAATGAACTTTTCCACGACATTCTAATTTATTGAGATGCACCTGTATAAGCAAAGTCAGAAAGCTTTAGCAAAATGCAATAACAGCAACTAGCATTTTCAGAAAAAGAAGATTTTTCTCGGCAAAATGAATGGAAAACCACAATAGGGTTAATCCTACTAATCATGAACGATGGTTTGGTTAAGTAACAGATTACTCAGGTTTGAGTTCTCCCATTTCTACACAGATTCTTGTTCATTCACCAAAAACCAGAACAAAAACAAAAAACTAAGAAACAGATGTACAAAACTCGAACCTTTTTATTAAAGTCTATCGCATGTATTATTTATATATATACTGTATAAAAGTTCTACAGTGACAGAACTGGCACATGGTCAGACAACGGTTAAGTCATGGATTCGTTCATTCGTTCTCAAAGAACAACACAGAACACGAGAGAAATTTACACAACAAACACCGACAGACACACCGCTTCACCAGATGAGGGTGTGTGCGGGCGACTTCATGGGAGATGAGGATCGTTTGGAAGAACAAATAAATACATTATCACGCTTCACTTGTGCATGTTCTGCATCCTCTGCCAGCATTCACATGGATTCTCGCACGCACACACATCACGATTTTTGCAGTCGCAAGCAGAGGGCTGACAGAGAGTGTGTTCATCAAATCCTGAATACTGGCTGTAGTGTGAGGTAAACGGACTGTGTATCTACAGCCACATCTAACATTAAACACACGCCTGAGTCTTTAACACCGGGCCCGAAGCGCTTTAGCACCAGAGTAGAGAGCATCAGAGTGTGTTTCAGTGGAAATGCATCACCGTCTGGAGTCGTGTAAACCATAGATGCTGACAGGGTTACATCGTTCTCATGAGTAGGTCAAAGTAGATCAACATCAACTAGCATTACAGAGCCTCTTGTAATGACAAAGATCATTACGATGTTTTGCGCTGTGAGATTGTAATGAATATTACGCACATTAACTATGCCTACATTTATCATGCTGATTCAGGAAAACCCCTGACCTACAGTGATGATTGTGTGAACATTAAGAATAATCACCACTGAAATGCTGGAAAATTACCAAAACCCACCTCAAAACTAGAGCTTTAAGACACTCTACAGTAATGAGAATGAGAGTTTGGGCATTACGGTACAGCAATTACAGCAAAATGTGCTTAGTTGAAATATGAGAGAGTGATGCATTTCTAGGTTTTTGAATGACAATGTAAGAGTTAAGATTCAGAGATCAAAGGCATAAACCGCATGCTGAAAGAAATCTGTCACCTCGGTGGAAGAATTACTAACAGAAGTTTCTACGACTGTAACTGTGGAAGATTCCTCGCATCACAGCAGCGACATCAAAACACGAGAAAGAAAATCAGCCTTTTCACATTTCAGTTTCCACAGGAACAACATATACTTTCTAATAAAAATACTGCAAAACAGTCTCCTCTCAACTCACCTGACTTACGGAACTCAAGGCATCAATAAAAAAAAATAACCTGAGCATATTTTTATAGGTTTGTGCTCTGTAAGATTTTTATAATGTTAGTTTTGATCACACCGAGACTGCATAAAATAATAGTGAAATGTTACCATTACTCCAGTCTTCAGAGTCACATGATCTTCAGAAATCATTCTAAAATGCTGATTTGCTGCTCAAGAAACATTTCTGATTATCATCAATGCTGAAAACAGCTGTGCTGAACAATATTTTTGTGGAAACCGTGACACATTTTATTTTTCAGGATTCACAGATGAACAGAAAGTTCAAAAGAACAGTGTTTATTTGAAATAGAAATCATTTGTCACGTTATATGTCCTCACTGGCACTTTTGATCAATTTAATATGTCCTCGATCAATAGAAGTATGAATTTCTTTCAAAAAATCTAACTGAGCACAAACCTTTGAAAGGTAGTCTAGTTAAGGTTTCTCTTAAAAGTGTAACCACTTTTGACAGACACACAGCTCTAAGCAAAGACACCTACGCATTTGTGTGTGTTTGTGTACATAGTTACGGCAAGTGTAAAGAGCATGAGCGTGTGACTAACCAGGTCCTCTTGTTGTCGAAGAAGAGCACGAGGAAGAGATGCTCGCGCGCCTCCTGCGTCATCTGCTCTCCCAGCTTCAGCACCTCTATCGGCGGGACAGGAATCGGGACGCCCCGGTGGAACACACCCTCCCGTGGCATCTTGGGATCAATGATCTGTGGGAAGATATCACACGTCTCTAAATGAGAAGAGAGGACTGAGGCGGCCCCTGCTGGACACACACAGCACCTTCAGTCACAGGAACTCAACATGTCTGACTGATTACAGGTCAAGTGCTGCAGCTAGGTCCCTTTTATTATTTTGGGTTATTTATTGTTCCACTGAAAAAAGTGCTTTGAGTGCCTGCACATCAATCCCTTCACTGCTGCTCTACTGTCAACTCAGAAGGTATACTTATAACATCACAGTAACATATTACTCTTGAATACAAATGCCAACGGAAAAACATTTATTGTGCTCTATCAAAATTCGTTTTTTGAAAAAAAAAGAAAAAAACCCATCAAATACTAATGGTGCTTTGTGATATTTAATTTGAAAATAAATGCAATTTCTTCATACTAGATGTCTTTTATCATATTTAACGATAATCACAATACTGTAACTGTTGTGTCTTGCTCACTCTCCTGCGAACAAACGTGCATAAATCATAACTGGGACTAATGAAATTCAATAATAATGGCGGAGCCTCAACATTCGATTTGCAGCGTTGCACATTATAGTGAATGACCGCTCAGGGAGTGCTCGCTGCTTTCTGTAGCCTACATCATACGTTTTCTTTTTTTTTAAAGCTTCTCTAAAGGACCAACGGCCACATCTACACTGCAGAGTTTAAGGAGAGACAATGGCATTTAACAGTAAATTAATATTTAAATTTGTTCTTTTCATTTATGAAGAATTATGTATTAAGCGTGTAGTTTATGCACATTTGTTCAAAACAGTCTGGCAGATTGCTCACAAGATGTGGGCAAAACATTTTATTGATTACAGTAAGGATGCGCTTTCTTCTCTTTTTTCCTGTTGCGATGCTTTTCTTCAAAGCACAACTTAGAATGCCTATTTCGGTTTGATTGCTTGTGTTACACGAGAAAATAAACAACTTTGTCTACCTGATGCAGCAGTCTAGATTTAATGTGTGCGCGGTTCAGGTTGCGGTCTCCATGTCACACGGGTCGGGTACAGAATTAAATCAGTGCTGCTGTCAGATGACGGGTCAGGTGTTCTGTTAAGGGTTAACCAAATCGATCAATCACTGAGCTGACAGCTATGATCAATCGTTTTCACAAAAATAACCTTGGCCTGGAGCACAAACAGAGGCTTTCCATTTCATATAGTGATTGAAACTCAAAATGTGTTTCCGAGTCCAACGCTCTCAAACTACTTTTATTTCTTTTATTCTTCAAAATGTCTGCTGCTACACTTCTTTTTGAGACGAAACATGACCCAGACATTGCAGCGCTTGCCTTACAGCCCGCTTTAGGTGCAACTTTCATGGACACGAGCATGCAGTGTGACACTCACCAGAGCGGGGTATGATGGGTATCCTCTGCACTTGGCCCACACCAGATCCAGAGCGTCCAGAGAGCTGTAGTCATCTGAACCCATCCAGCATCCAGAGCGGCTCCGGCCCCGAACCACTGCAAACACACACACACACACACGGGTCAGGCCACAGACAGAACGCATGCGGGCCGGTCTGAAGCGTGCGTCTGCAGCACTCACAGTGAGACACTCCTCGGGATCCTCCCATGGAGTAGGAGTCGTTCTCCGTGCCGGACGTTTCCTCGCTGCTGTCCTCCTGACAGGCAGAGCGTGAGAACGAGGCTTTTCCACGGCCCTGTTTAGAAGGAGTGGTGCTGCCGAGAGAAGAACAACAGCACTACATGACACTGGCATCCCCCTCGTGCAGGACTGACACTGATTCACACATCAACCCGCTCTCTTCAAACAGATCAGCAGGTGCTAGTTCATCACTGTACTGTAGACTCCGTGTGGTAGTAAAACGGTTCACATTACACAATCCTAAGGACTGTGCTGCTGACTTAAAGTCAAACAACACAGTGAATCCTTCACCAGTGTTTAGCAGCAGTCTTTTGTGTGTGTGTGTGTGTGTGTGTGTGTGTGTGTGAGTGTG